TGGATGAATTCGGACGAAAGTAAGAGGAATAAGAGAGCCACCCACTGTACAGGCTACTATCCAAAAATTTATCCTGCTCTTTTATCTTTGGTTAAAAACATCACAACAGAAAATAAACAACAAAATAAAACTACAACGTGTTTATAGAATCTGATTGTGTTACAAACCTATGACGGCAACTAAAGATTTCATTGAGCCTTTAAAAGATAATGAAGGACCAAATTTATATAATCATAAAATCAACATCACAAATGAAATCATTTGCATCTTTATGCAGCGTAAATTCGCGATTTTATGCGGACTGGGCACGAGTTTAGCTCACTGAATCCCTGTGCAAATCTCGACCAGCTGTCGAAAACTCTGGGGCAGCCAACGAGCAGGCTCGCGTTTGAACACGCGCGCAAGTGTCTTAGCGACTTTTGCGTCTCGCGTTCGCTGGTTCATCCCCAAGGCTTTGTCCCTTGCCCGTGTAACTCAAACGTAAGCCTGCCCACAACGATTGCAAGAAAGGGTTCTGGAGCTTTATATATTTCTGTGGACGTTGTTTACTTTTTAGTGTAGGACTAGTGCTGGGCGTTTAAGTCTCCGAGGCCTATTGAATGTCATGAAAACACAAGTTACGCCAAATGCTTTCTATTTCGTTTTTCCTTCTTCTTTCATTCTTGTATCGTAATAAAATACTCCGTCGAGGTTGACAGCAACGTTTACCGCCGTATTCTGTAAACTATTAATTATTACCTTTCCAACTTTCCTGTTGTCTCGAAAATTTGGCTGCTTTTTCTTCAGGACTGCAATCTTCTAGAATCTGAGGAGGCAATTGCTCGATTTTCCTCTCTAGGACTGCTATTCTCTCGTTCATTATCTTCAACACTGGCGTTTCTCCCTTAGGTCGAAAAAATAGAGCTGAATCAGAGTTTCTGCGCAGCTTTTCTCCGTCATCAATTCTTGCAGTTTCTAAAACAAAAAAACGTAAAAAAGGTAAGAGATTGTATAGATTACATTAATCCTGCTAAGAAACCAGCGCGACAAGGAGACCAGGAGTCTTATTCTGAAAACTATCGTTTCTCCGTTCTTTGACGTCGACGTTGAATATTAGGGAACAAAGGAATCTATCAGTTAAAAGCAAGAGAGAAAAA